GTTTCTCATTTCAGGGGCTGTATCTCGCAAAGGATCACTTAGAGGTATGGTTCCTTTGACTTTTTTGCTCCTATGGGTATGCTCTACAGCTACGATAGTGTCCCAACTGTCTCATCCAGAGCTTGAATTGATTTTTTTTTGGAGCTTGTGTTTACAATAAACAAAACAAACATTTTCAGTTTATTCGTAAACCTGCTTTGGGTCTACCATTCTCATTCGAAAAATGTATCGTTCTGAAATTTCGTGGATGAATGCCAAATGTGTTTCTAAGATAATAACTAGTTAATGTCGTGAACAGGGTTTGTGAATAAATTGAAAATATTTATCATAAACAAATGCAGGCTGGAAAAGTATGAAAGTTATGCTTTTAATGTTGTGTTTAAATATATGTATTTTTTTATTAATAATTATAATATAGATATTGGAATAAGTTACTCTAATTTTTTTTGGGCATGTGGAATTAGACACCATTTTCACATCATTAGAAACCAGAAAGAGATTTTGGTGACTATATCTTGCCAAGGATCGCATGTAAACTATCAGCTCCTTTGACTGTTTTTACTCCTAAGGGCATGGTCTATGGCTCTGGTAATGACCCAACCATCTCATTCAGAACTAGAATCTTGTCAGAAACAAACATAACAGAAATTTGTTTCTGATCTATATAACTACACTAGAAATTGAGTATAGAATTTCTCGGTAAACTCTTGTAGCAATAACTGAAGTAATAAGAAAAAATGAGTACATTTTAAAAAATCGCCAGGACAAATTTACTTTAACGGAAAAAATTATATTTCTTGAGACTATACATACAATATGAGTCAATTTGTGTTAAAGTAAATTCATCCCGGCAATTTTTTAAAATGTACTTATTAATTTTATCTATGTGCCACTGCTAGAGGACAATTTTAACTTTTTTGCATTGTATGACGGATGACTAGCCTACAATAAAAGGTCAACTCTGCCGTAGAATTGTTAATACATCAACAATGTGTGAAGGGACTGAAAGAAATTGACTGATATTGTATGTATAGTCTCAAGAAATATAATTTTTTCTGTTAAAGAAAAAACGAATAATGATATCTTGGTAATGTTGCTTATCTCTCCAGTATAAAATTTGATCTTACATTCAACTACTCAAAAACTGGGACTACATTAATAAACACATATAACCAATATCTAGCAAGAAGAAATTACAAGAAAGAAAATGTTTTCAACCATGTTCAACAAGCACAGTTAAACACAGTTGAAAATATTTGCTCTCTTGTAATCTTTCTTGCCGGATGTTGGTTTTATGTGCAGTGTTTATCTGTCTCTCTCTCAGCAATATTAATTATACTAAGACACACACCTTAAGTGCGGTGTTTATTCGATGCTTACCAAGGCAAAGTTAAAAATATGTTGTGAATAGACTCTTATTTTCTCCTTCCATCATTTAATTTGAAAACTTTTTTAAATAGTGTTGCCAACAATTAGAAAACTTGTCACCAAAATTTTACTCTCTCAATAGGTATTAGTAAGAATAAATGGAAAAGTAGATTTTTGACATTTTTGTCTGGAATCTGTTCAAAATTTTTAGATAGGAAAATATCACGTACCTTAGAACCTTTAACCGATGCGAAATAAAAATTTAACAGTACAAACGTTTTCAGACCCCTCCTGGGTCCATCTTCAGGCAAAAAATCGTTTGAAAATTTACTAAGTACGAAAAATATTCGTTTAGAACGATTTTTAAAACCCGAAAAGATAGAACGGAATCACGTGATCTGTATCTCTGAACGTCATTTTAAAAATCATTCTAAACGAATATTTTTCGTACTTAGTAAATTTTCAAACGATTTTTTGCCTGAAGATGGACCCAGGAGGGGTCTGAAAACGTTTGTACTGTTAAATTTTTATTTCGCTTCGGTTGAAGGTTTTTTCTGAGGTACGTGTTATTTAGTTAAATCCGATGTGCAGGTGATAATTATTATTAATTTAAAATTTGTTCAGCATTGTAAAAATTTTGTTCTATATTTTGATGTTTGCATTTCTAAATTTACAATTTGTAAATCTAGGAAAGATCATTGAATAGGACCAAAAACATTAGTTTATTAAAGTTTATTTTTATACTTCTGTATAAGTTTTCTGACATTTAGTACCTATTGAAGTAAGTTTAATTATTTAATGCATGCCAAAAGATATTTTTCCTTGATGAAAAATGTAGGTATCGATCTACCACTTGATTAAAAGCAAAAAGATCCAGTAAAAAAGGAACAACAGAGTGGAGTATCCTCTGTCCCAATTAAAATCAGAAACAACAGTCAGTCCGATAAAACTATCAGGCTTCTCTCCATAACACAAACATGAGTCCTAGCTGGGTGGAGTAAGCTATGCACAATAGCTCTCGAGGACTGTTATAAGACTATTTTATGCTTTATTTTATTTAATCTTGATGATGTTTTATTTTACATTCTTGTTGACTTATTTTAAATTTATTTTAACTTTTTACCACTAATATGGATTCCAGTTAGTGTTAGTTCTACAGAATGTCTTTCTAAAATCTCTGCCTGATGTAAAAATTTTTAGTTCAAATATTTTGTGTTTGAACTTAAAATCATTCAGAGCATGAGCAATTCTATTTGAATGTCAAAATCATTAAAATTGAAATGTGTGGATCTAATAATAGAATTTATAGATCCCAAAAAGTGCTCTATATGACATTAAAAGCATCAATAATTTCATTTATATGATTCCTATATTATTTTCGTGATACATTAGATAATGTGTCCATATATATTTCACCAAGACACAATCTTTGAGATATTTCTAAATTTCTAAAAATGTATATATATATTAATAATATCTATATTTAGCCTTCTGTGAATCAAATTTTGTATGTTTTCTTATAAATATAGCTTTATCCTAAAAAATTCTCTTCCTGTTTTTATTTTAGTAAAAATATAAATAGATATCCTTCAACCATTACATAATAAAATAATTAACATTTACCCCTTATAATGAAAGAAAATTATGCAAGAGCAAAAAGAAACTTCTGTTTACAAGAATCAACACATTATTAATTATGCTGAATCTTGAAAAAGGATTTTTAAAATGCAAGTAAGTCAGAACTGACTCAGGAAAATCTTTTTATCATCTCAATTAAAAAAAAATTAATTTCTTGTAAAATGTTTAAAAAATGAAGTAGAAAATTACACAATTAAATGACGAAATGAAAAACCTTATTGTAATATAATGGTAAAAGTGATTTTGAAGCATTTTTTATCTCATTTTCATTCTTGGAAGCAAAAGGCAGAATGATGTCTCCACAGATTCTTTAATGTATTAAGTTTTTAATATAATATTTAAAGAAAAATTACCTAACTTTCTCTAAAAATTAAATTAGTAAAATAATAAATTTTTGATTTCTGGAGATGAAATGACATTCCTGAGAGGAGATGCTTTTACACATTTAAAATTAACAGAAAATATGTTTTGTTATTCTGTTACAGAAGTAAAAACTTTAAATGGATGCTTTTCTGTCATTAAAATAACCAAAACTTTCAATACATACTCTCTATTTCCATCCTTCGGAGGACTCTGTTGTAAACAATCGGTCAATTTGACTAATATCACAGCCGTTCCAATACCACGAACGACAATTCCCGATTCGCCTTCCAAATCGAAACACTGGTGATAACTAAAATAAACAATAATTAAAATTACATGCATCTGTGTGGAATACATAAAATACATAATATGTATTTTGTGAAACATCCTTTTTCTCTCAATAAAATAAAATACTTAAGAAAATTTCACAAAAACATTTAAAAATCATTGTGAATGCAAGAAAAAACTGGTACATTTCAAAATATTTCATTAAAAAAAATGAATCAACTCAAAAACTTATCATATCAAACTTAAAAATCTGCTTTATGGACTTTAATAAAGCAGAATTTTAAGTTTATGATTTTCAGAATGGTGATATATTCTACATTCCACCAAATGCAAATGCATCAAACTAAACAATAGTTGCAAGTAACCAAATGATCTTCCAAGTAATTTTCCTTAGAAGATTATTGCAATTACAGTAGAGCATTGATTATCCGAATACTGATCAACCAAAACATCGGTTAACCGAAAGTGTTCCAATCGGCAAATTCAAATTTCCACTACCCCGTTTCCCCAAAAGTAAGACAGTGTCTTATATTAATTTTTGCTCTCAAAGATGCGCTAGGTCTTATTTTCAGGGGATGTCTTATTTTTCCATGAAGAAGAATTCACATTTATAGTTGAACAAAAAACTTCCCAAGTCTAACTTAAACAAGAGAGACGTAAATCCGGTCGTGTCAAACTGAACTTACAAAGTTTCCGTGCTGGAGTGGATTTCCCACTCTCGCTTCAACTTAACCTTTTCATAGCGTCGACATCGGGCTCGATGACAAATTAGTACTTACTGAACCGTAGCACTATGCAAATGTCATGTGGCGTGATTCCCGGCCAACCAATTAGAGATCACCAGCCGTAACGTTATGCAAATCTGTGATTCCCAAGCAATAGTCTTATGCAAATCATGCCATGCGGCGTGATTATCTGCTGACCAATCAGTGGCTATACTTTCAAAAAGCCAACAGCCACTTTCAACCATTTGTCGATGACCATTACGACTAAAAAAAACTTTGCTAGGTCTTATTTTTGGGGGGCAGTCTTATATTTCGCAATTCAGCAAAACCTCTGCTAGGTCTTATTTTCAGAGGATGTCTTATTTTCAGAGGATGTCTTATTTTCAGGGAAACACGGTAGTGCTGTAGCACTGTAATATTTGGTTATGTCTTGGGCTACTCCAATATTATTTTTGTTGGTGTGCATGTTTTAGCTGTCAGCACTGGTGCGACCACGAGAGGGTACTTAAGGATGCGCCAGTATTTTAACAAGGCTTTTCCCCCCCATCACGAGTAGTGAGTATTGCTTGTTTTTTGTAGTGTTTTTCTGAAGACTGTGTGTCAGGACATGTGTCATGATGAATCGAAACGTTTTTGATACTACATTAACTTCCAAAATATAATTTTTTTTAATATTTTTCAATATATTTATTTTGTTTGTGCAAAATGAATTAATAATTTTTAACGATACAATAGCCATGATTATTATTTTTAAAAAAATTATATTTTGCATTCAACACAAAACAACATGCAACAAAAAAATTTCAACATGGGATAGGGTAATATGTTTTTTCATACACGATCAGTTATTCGAACCACCCCAGTCCCAAATTGTTTTGGATAATCGATGCTCTACTGTATTGTCATTGTGAGACTTCCATAATCATCTGATTTGGTGCTAATGAATTTTCTTACTTTTGAAAACAGACAAAAAATAATCAATGTATCACTCCATAAAATTTAAAAAACCTTAGTCCAGACTATAAAAATAATAACATTTATAATTTACAACATTTTTTGAATTAAATGTTAAGCACAGAAGAAAAAGTTTGAATTAAAATACATTAAGATGTTGGGAAAAATCTTTTTAACTTCTTAATAATTAAAAAAAAGACAATCTTTATATAATTTCCAATTAAAAATAATATATGCTGGAGCATGCTCCAACAGGTATTATTTTTAATTGGAACAAACATTTTTCAGTCTAATTTATAAGTCTTTCTAAGATTTGATCACAAAGAAATACAACTATGAATGTTTAAATGTAATAAAAATTGAATAAAAATTCATGAAATCTTTCAAATTTAAATTTACAAAGAACTATGAATTTTATATATAATACATGGCAATTATGAAGTCCCCACACTCAAAATTCACAAACTTAAATCTTATTTTCCATTTATGTCACATCTATGTGATATAAATAAACACATCAGCTGATCCTTCTGGCTTCTATGCTGTAAGTTTTGTCCTAGTCAGCATATTTGCTCTCTCTTAAGAGCTGTTGATGTGTCGGATGGCGCTTCCCGTGTCAGACAAAGGACAGGAACTCGTGACACATCCATACTCACTTTTCTACGCCGTACATTATTTTCACTTACTTTTTAAATAATACAGCAGTCAGATTGCCAGACCATATTGGGCCAGTTGAATAAAAAATAATAAATGCTTAAAAGTTATTAATAAAAGTACAAGTACTTACTGTAAGTAAAAGCTTTGAAGTAAAAGTACTTACTTTTTTGTGCAAATAAAAGTTTACTTTTACTTATTAGTAAATGCTCACATTTTTAAGTAAATACTGGCAACCCTATCAAAATGATGTTGCCATGTGAGGAAGGAAGCCAACTCATCTTTGTGAATGTTTTAAAAGAATATAGATTATTATTAAAGAAGTCACATGTTCCTGCTATTAAAAGAAGAAAAGAAATCACCCTGNTATATCTGAAGTACAGAGCTCCCATTGGGATTTGGCTTGCTCCCTTGTTTATTACGTACATCACCTCAGTGCAGGGTATTTACATTTATTCAAGTGTTGTGCAAGCATATTCTAAAAACACAGAAAGGTGATTTCAATTGAAACAAAACAAGACATCATCAGAAGGAGTGAAAGCTGACAAAAACTTCCTTGTCAAATGGGGAGAGGTTCAAGAGTTTACCAACACTCATTATCCAAACAAAGCTGAGGCCAACTGTTTTTCAAGAAGCAAGCTGCCAAAAAACAAAGGATGGAACAAGAGGAGTTGACCACTTTGGACATGTTTTTCAAGAAGCAAGCTGCCAAAAAACAAAGGATGGAACAAGAGGAGATGACTCTGCAAGCTCCATAGCCTCTCCTGATTCTGACTCCAATTAAAAACAATAAAAAGAGACCTGACCTGCTGCAATGTGTAAAAAGTCTATCTGTATGAATGTGTAAAGAAAGTGTTCCTCCACCTCCTCCTCACAATATCTCACTACTCGGCATAATTGGTGACTGCTCCATTTTCATTTTTTTATGTAACAGTACAGTTATTTTATGCTGCAGAACGAATTATATGTTTTAACATGTATTTCTATGGTAAAATGTGTTTCGTGTAACGGACTTTTCACTTAACAGATGTGCACATGGAACGGATTAAGTATGTTATACGAGGCACCACTGTACATTTTTAATGATCCGGCACATAACTAGTTCTTTTACAAACATAGAAATCTGATGATGACCTTTAAAGATGGAAGAAAACGTTCATTTATAAGAGAATTAATGCTGGTTATAAATAATTGCTTATTTATTAGTTGAATTCTACACCAGTAATATCATGAGGATTATATTTAATTAATTTTTTATAAATCAGCAATGTTTAAAAGAAACATTTTATAAATATAGTTAAAAATTACTTTCTAATACTTACCATCATACCAAGACTGTCTTGTGACAAAGGAGGCCGTGGAACTTGGGATCTAATTCCAGCACTTCCACTTCCACTACTTCCAGCCAAACTATTTGCTAAATAAAAAAATTATGTTATGTATCTAGTGTATACATTCACAACAGAATTTAAAAAATTATATATGGAAATTTGGAAAAAATCAATTATCAAAAAAATTGAGAAATTTTTTGATTATTATTTGACAAATTGGAATCTACAATAAAACAGATTGTTCCAAATAATATCATAATTCCATAAAACTTATAAGATTCCAAATATTTATTTAAACAAAATATTTTATAAAAAATTTTTTTGTCCACTAAAACCTAACAAATTAACAAAATTCCGCATTTGCCCTTCACTGGCTAACAGGGAATGTCTGCCCCTGAAAGGAAGATGTTCCTGTGAGATAAATTTTCCATTACTTTCTTTTTTTTACAAAGAGGAGAAAGTCAAATTTTAGTTGAAAAATAATCAAATCATTTGGTAAGATCACAAATTTTTGGTAGTCGATCTTCCAGTCTAACTTTGGTTTCTAAGTTTCAGTAATCTTCAGTTACAATGAAATGGAAAAATATAAGAACATGAATACAAAATTTACAGAACACAAATACAATTGTAAAAAAATAACAATTTGAATACAAGGACATTATTTTAAACAAATAAATAAATAACAGCAATTGCAGGTAAAATTAATAAAATAAAGAAATAAATAAATAAATAATAAAATATAAAAATAAATGAATAATTATCCTTTAATAAAATCAAATTTCATAAACAGATTGCCATGCCGTAGACAAGTTGTCTGCATCTCTATGGTTAATGGACCTGGAATTTTTATGAGACTTATAAATTTCAAATTTTTCTAGATAGCCCATAGTGTGTATATTAGATGTGGGTCTGATGATGGTTGCTTGCTCCCAGTTTACTTGTATGTCTTCGTGTTGTGAGTAAGCTGCCATTGTTCATGTTATTGAGATTTTTTCAATTGCATACTTATGCCCCTTGAGTCGCTGCTGTAAATTACACCCAGTGGCACCTACATAGACCAGTTTTGATTTGAAGCATTGGTCGTTTATCAAGATGGAGTAAATCCCTGTGGAAGAATTATGGTTATATGGTTTCTTATCATTCCTTAGAATTTTGAAGATTGTTGGGTTGCATCAATATACTACCAAAACATTATTAGCCCTGGCCATTTTGTTATGTATCTTACTTAATGATGGGATATAATTTAAGACAACCCTTTGTTTCTGGTTCACTGATTCATGTTGACATTTTGATGCTTGAAAGGTCACAATCAATTTTTGTATTACAGTAGAACCTCGAAAACTCAGCCTAATGTGGAC